TTAGAACCAGTGACACTTCAGTGCTCAGTCCATGACAGTTGCAGGTAAACACATAAGAACATAAACAAAGAATCCCATAATTCAGCAATGATTAACAAGTCAGAAAAAAATTAGTCTCAAGTAATAGACACATTTCACCATTTTTTAGCGAAAAACATGAGTCTTCAGCAACTAGAAGATATTTGCTTCTCCTTTCTCACTAAGTGAATAAATCAGGAGGAACTGCTGAAGTCAGTAACATTGGAAAGAAAGAGTTCAAACTATTTTTAGTCTCTTTCTACAATCTACACTATTTCTTTGTGAATATATTTGGGATAGTGAAGTCTCAACTAGCAAATGGTCAGTGTCTTAGCCCTAAATCTTGATTCAGATCTAAAATTGCTCAAGCTTGGTTTACTATGCCTTATTTTAGATTAACAAATTAATGCTGCCACTGCTTGCAAATGTGCCCTCCCACAAACACTCATAAACATTTTTATATGCATCCTTTCTTTGTAAATTACAAGCATTGATTAAATTATTTCTGTCAGCTATTTAATTGGTTTTAAAAAGATGTAAGTATATTTTGCATGTGCAGTCTGTCTGCACATGTCCTTTCATTCTGTTCTGTTGTATAGCATTTGCATCATCTGTTTCTTGGTAGGACTGGTTTACATTTGTTTCCTGCTCTGTTTTGTTTTTTGTTTTGTTTTTTTTTTTTGGTGGTTGTTGTTGTTGTTGTGGTTTTCCAGTTAATTCACAGTCATAGCTTATACATGAGCATTCAGATGGTTCTTGAGCACACCAATTAGAAACAGTACTTTCTATCCAGGTTTGTTAAGTGCCTCTGGTTCAAAGGTGAAAGAGCTGCTTTATATTCTCTCCCCAAGAGCATTTATGTATTAAGAGCTCTTCCCTGGCTGCTGATCCTGGGTTCCATTTCTTCAGGAGAGCTGAGTTCTCTTTTCACAACTCTGCTGACACAAAACTAGAAGTGGAAGTTGGCTTAGAGGAAAAAAAGAGGTTTGGATTTTCTCAGGATCTGATGCAAAGCCCACAGAAATCCATGGGGAGCCTCCCATCAGTTCCCTATCAAGTTCTACCATGACTGTGTAGCACAATCTGGCACAAACAGATGATGAAATTCACTTTTACATTTAAACATCTGTTTCAGGACTTCATGGAGGAAAAACTAGTCCAGAAAAAATAAAAAGCTTTCCAAAAAGATCTTTCAATGAAATGCAAGCCTATCTGTTTCAAACAATTCAGTTAACTACACTGTCCAGTTGCAGAAAAGTAGAAGTGCTAAAAGTACAGTTTTGCTGTACTTCTAGTCCAGAGAGTGGGACAAGAGTATGAGAACTTCTCAGAGCCAGTCCTTGCAAGATTTCCAGAAGTGAGAGACTCAGGAGCCTGGGCAATTCCTGGGCTTTGGACAATATCCTGGTATAAATCTCGATGCCGTGGTCATTGGCAGACATGGAAAGAAATGAGTCACCAAGTGCTTGTCATTTCCAAAACAATACAGCTTTATATTATGAATTAAAAGTCTGATAGAGGTAAGTAACCTCCTAAAATGTTTATTTAGATAAGAGTCCTGTGAGCAGGTCTTGAGAAGCAATCACTTTTAAAATGGTGGATTTTATTACATTCAATAAAACACATGTTGCAGAAATGACATCTCAGTTTTTCAAATAGCTAGAAATTGCTGAGCTTAATGGGCACTGGAGTGATGATATAATCACAGTTTTCTCTGGTGTACAGCCCCTATCATTTATTATTTCAACTACTGTACACTGGAATCCGCTTACTCTGACAGCCCTGCCTCACCACAGGTCAGCTTGATAGCATCAGCTGGGAATGGGTAATAACCAAACTGCACTGACAGCAAGCTTGGCAGAGCTAACTTTAAAGGGAGAAATGTGCTTAAAAATATAGAAAGTGTGACAAAAATGAGAACTGAAGCAGTCCTCACTTGAGTATTGCACAGCTCCATGGATTTTTGATTTCCAAATGTTTTACATATTCCCTGATGGATTTCATTAGAATTCAAAAATATTTCAGTCACTCTCAGCTGCTCAGGGACATGGTATTGACGATAGAGTGTGTGGTTGTTCAGCTATGGACACAAGAGTAATCTTCCTTTTTTTTTTTTTTTTTTTCCCTAATGGAGAAGCACGGTTTGCAACCCCCAACAGCAGATCTGCTGAGGGAATTTAGCAGTTGTGACCCTCAGATGTCAAACAACATGTTAAGGGGCATGTAAAGACAATGTAACTTGCAGGGCTAAATACAAACCATTCGTTTGGGACTGTGGAGGTAATCAAAGCCTGTATAACAAGTGAGCTTCAGAAGATTCTGGTGTGCATCGGAAAATTGGTGGTGGGCTGGCAGGGTTTTTTTGGTTTTGTTTTGTGGGTTATTTTTTGTTGTTTTTTTTTTTTTTTTTGTTTTGTTTTGTTTGGTTTGGTTTTTTTTTTTGTTGTTGTTGTTTTTTTTTTTCTTTTTTTTTTTTTTTTTTTTCCCCCCCCCCGAGGCTGTCTCTCCTGCTGTATTCATTATAGTCAATCCCAGTCTTGCTTTTTGGTTATGTTCTCTCAAGTGACCCACTCCCCCCTCCCATTCAGCCTGTGGGAGGCCAGTTTGGTGGGATGACACATGCTGAGCCAGCGATGCCCACCGTGCTGCGGCAGCATCTGTGCCCGTGCCAGAGCTGCCCCAGCGCCCCTTCACCACCCTGTGCTGGAATCCCCTGGGGGGCTAGGGGGACACAACCTGTAAGCAGCTTCTCATGCCAAGCCAAATCCCGGGAAAATAATACTGAACTGAAATGACCGCTGCCGCTCACAGTCTGGTGTGGTCCTGCTGCTTTGCAGGGCTACGCTTCAGCCGAAACGGGAACCTGCGGGCTTTGGGCTCGAGGCTGTGGCATGCAGGTGGCACGGGATGAATGCTGACAGTGAGATGAGCCTGGCTCCTTCTGGGCAGCCTCATCCAAACTCTGAGACCTGTCTGCATAAAGCAGAGCGGTTCTTGCAGAGGCGGGTGGGACCGCCTCCTGAGGAACGCTGCTTGAGGGGGCTGAGCAAACATCTTCCTGATTTGGTGTTCATGAGTATTAATACTGAGCTGTCTATATCTATTTGTGTCTCCCTCTACCCTACACCTCCTCCTTTCCTTGGAAAAGTATTGGGATTTTTAGTATCTCCAGATTATTGATGGTGGAGAACTGCCTGCCAAGGGTGATCAGGGAGAGTTTAGTGGTTTTAATGAAGCTGAAATAAGAACCAGATTGAGGGCTATGAGCAGAAAATTTGTGTTGCTGTCTGTACAATAACATACCATTCAGGTAATTTTCTAAAAGGACATTTAGATATCTGGAATCTGCTTCCGTTATCTTATTAAGGACTATGCTTTCGGCTTCCAGTGTTTATGCCAGTTTGTACCTGGTTACTTTAGTTCTCCCAGACATCTCTCAGCATGCTAGCCATACTGTATTTATTTAATCTTTCCCCATAAGTCTGTCCTTTTCAGTTCCATAAACCAGCCTAAATAATTTCCCCATTTTCCTTTTCACAGCACATCTATATTTTTAACTATAAGGTACTCTTAATTAATGAAATACTCCAGATACAGTTGTAGCAAAGCCATATAGATAAGGAACTATTTTCTCTCTACTTTGTGATTAGCTGCCTGTGTTTGTATGTTTAGATTTTATGTTCCCCCTCTGTCATATTACATTGAAAATTCATGGCTACTGTGTTGCTCACAGTTTCTCCAAAGGACATACTGCCATTACCGCTTCCCTGGTTTTAATCTGATTATTGGACGCCTGTGTTTTACATTAAATTCCCTGAGATGTTCTGGCTTGCAGTTTTTCAAGTTGAATTTGATTTTTGGTGGGCCTTTCAACCTTCATTTTGCTGTTCTCTCTTTAACCCACTTACATACTATTTTTTTCTCTTCTCTTCTAAAGAAGCATACAGAGTCTGGGTATTATGGTTTCCAGGCTCAACTATTTTTACAATACCTGATGCCACATTCTTTTGTCTTCTTTCATCCTCTATCTGCCTCTTATCTCATCTCTCATCTTGTTTTCTTTCAGCTGATAAATCAATTCTGCTAGTGTATTTTTCTTTGTCTCCTTCTATAAATTTTGCTCTACCACGTTTTTAATCTGAAACAAAAGGCGACCTACCTATATGTCATAAATACGTAAACTTCAAGATGCCATTTCTAATAAATAGGAACAGCCTGTTTGATATTAGTCTGCCAGAATCTTAATTTAAAAGCATCCTGAAAGGAAAAAAAAAAAAAGTGTTATTACAATAAGCACAAACATTTTAATTAACAAGACTGTCTCTGAAGGAGTTTTCATTCCGGCTTGGTAGACTGAAAAGTAAGTATTTCTCTGATAATTACTTTAATTTCTAAAAATGCTATTTTATTCTATTGAAGTTCATATTTAAAATAGTACATTCAGTCCTTTAACCACTGATATAAAATTTAGTCATAAAAAACTTGAGAAAATAAAACTATAACAAAATAAACACTATAGACAAGCCATTAAATATAAAAAGGAATAGAGTTGTTAGGATTAATTTACAGAAAAAAAGTGCCTTAAGTAAAACATTTCAAATTGTCTTCATGTTTTTTAAAGGAAGTTCTGATAGGAATTTGAGGTTTACTGCCAGAATCTTTCTTCTAGCCAGCAGTAACTATCAAATAGTAGTTTATAATCTCAGAGAGCTGACACAGGTTTTATATCTTTGTTCATCTATTATTTTATTTTTGTAACTTTCATTACAGTGACTCCTTTTTTTTTTTTTTTCTCCTGAGGGATAAGAACTGAACACGTAGTGAAATCTTTTGAAGGATGATTCTCCAGTAATTCATTCCACACACCTGATTATTTAATTTCCTCAGTCAAAAAATGTTTGGAGGTTTAAGTAACAGCTCACAATTATCTGTATAATGAGGAGGTGAGCAGGTCATAATTTGTACAACTCACCTGAGAGTTTCAGTGAGAATGCAATTTTGTAGAAATTCCATGACCGGTTCTGAAGAGAAAAATAGGAAATTGAAATGGGTTTCAAACTTTGGATTATGAAGAAAAGGACAGTAGAACTAATCCTAGAGCAAAACAAAGTTATAGTTAAATTACAATTACATTTATATTAATATAAATATTATAATTACATATTACCAAATTGAAAAGGACCATCATGCCTGAAGCTGTTGGACCCATATATGAGAGTAACTGCTGAATGTGGGGCAGGCATTGATGGAGATTTTCTACTAAAGACCAGCACCACTCTGGAGACAAGCTAGGGAAAAAAAAAAAGCAGTCAAAACAAAGCAAGCAAAGTAAAATGGAATAGACTACAAGTGATTGTACCAGGTTTTTAATTAATGAGAACACAGGAGATTGCTAAAATGAGTACATTACCTAATGGTGAATTAATATTATATGCTGAAACATCCCACAAGGGAAGAATTGGATATGCTAATATTGTATGAAAGAGATTGCCACTGGCAAATATTTCACTGTAGAGAGTTCTACATTAGGTATAAACTCAGAAAAAAGACAACCCTCTTAATATATGTCATGAAATATTAATTGCCTAGAAGTTACTAAAGCAAGATAAAAGCTTGATTATACACCTTTGCATTCTTTTGATGGTCTTTATTGACCATTGATCCAGAATTGTTTTTAGAAATGCGATCCATTATTGTATGAGTAATAGAACAGACATTTTATGGTATAAAGTTATAATTCCTAAGCAATAGTATCTGAAACTTCAATTGGCCTAGGCCTAATGGGAAACTACTTAGAACATCCTAAGGTGGGAGGATATTTGGCTTTAGAATTTGCTTTCCTCCCCTTGGGTCAATAATACTGTCTGACCTCTGGTAACGTTCAGACTACTCTGCAAGATGCACCTGTTAATTTTGTTAATGTGAAGGGAATGGGTGGAAATAGGAGACAGTACTGGATCTGCAGTTTGATATGTCATAGTACAGCAATTTTTTTTTTTTGTAAAATATATGATGTTTATTTTGGCTTGGACCTTTTTTCCAACTCTGTATCATCCCAAGAGCAACTGAATACCTTTTTTACAAATGAAAAGAAGAGGGAGCTTCTTAAATCTTGCATTTAGGATTTAGATAAACTGTTTCCCAAGGGAAACAGTATCCAAGTCTTCATATTTTGGTCTTTGACTGTTTAAGGTATGTGGAACTGAAGAAAACAGCCAACTTTTATGTTGTCCTATTAAAAGCCATAAATCTGCCTGTATTTACTAAAATGTTCACTGACCTCGGTAAAAAAACACTGAATGTGATTCAAGTTTCATATTTATGAGGGAACCTGAAAATAATTAATGTTTCCTTGGACTGAAGTGGTAAAAAAAAAGGCAAACAAAAGAAAATCCCCCAACTCTATAGAAAGTGACTGCAACAGAAAGACCCAGATTCTCAGGCTAAGTTAATTTGTACACCCTGGAGTCAATTATATGAATCAGACACAGATGGGAGACTCTGAATGTTACTAGTAAATTAACTAACCTATGTTCAGTCCAGTTTCTTAGCTCTGTTGGAGACAATTAAAACATTTTTGGTGTTTGTTACCATTTCTACTAATGGCTTGTTCGTAATTCTTTTTAGGCTGACCAGCTGCCAAATGAAAGATTGATTTCATACCCTTACTTCCCTTTGAATATGAACTCAATTCATTAAACTATTTGTCAATGCTTTTGTCTTGATATATGATGAAATCTGGTTTGATCTTAATGTTCAAGATGTATAAAATGGCAGAGACAGGCCTTCAGCTGCCTCAAACTGGCACAGATACACTTATTTCAATAAAGAGTTTGCAGAGTTTTCAGCAGAACGCAGCTGGGCTTGTAGCTGAAGTTGACCTGTTCCATCTGTGGTCTGCTTCCCGCTTGCCTTACATTCAAAATCAAGAGTGCTCCTGAACAGTTGCTCACTCTGGAAATATCAAGTGCGTGAGTGAGAGGTTTCTCTCATGTTTTGAGTGGGAATTTCTGAATAATGGTTTCAGCCTTGTGCTTGGTCACTTCTTTATTGCTGGCTCCCTGCTATTTAGCATATTCTCCTCCATGATAGCTTTTCTTTTGTGCTGCTGCTGGTTGTCTCATTCTCCTGGCTTCTTTTCATTCTCTTTGAAGGTGGTATCCGATGATTCACTGCCTTCTATTGAGTTGTTCCAGCCATTCTATCTTCCAGGTGATGGCCTGAGTATTAGCATTCAGTATAATCTTCACAGAGATGTTAAATAATAAGTAAACCTGAAAGACGGTAACTTCAAAGATCTGATAGTAGTTTACTAAGAATTTTTCTAAACAGTATAAATAACCACTTCTTTCTTTTTTAACTTCCTAATTAAATACTCTTAAAATACCTTTCTAAATACGTACACTTACATGGAGAATGCAGTGTTCTGCATTTCTGGTTCTACACTCAGTAAAGCATGACAACACAATGTAAATGTGGTCAGTGCAGGATGTCTGGCAGTATTAAATGGGTTGTTAGAACAGGGTATAGAATATGGCTTGATTGAAAACAATATATAAGGCTGTGACTCCTTTGGTTTGTAAGCAACATAGAATACAGTCCTAATGTATCTGTTTTGTGAAATAAATGTGTATAAAGTGATCCTGAATTTAACAGTCATTGTCAGATGCAGCTGTGGCATTACCTGAGAAAGTACAGGGTAATTTCAGTTCCCTAACAGCACTGTCTGTGCCAGCTGGGATTTTATTTTTCTTAGTGCTGCACCATGGCATGAAAATGTGAACCTGAATCTGTAGCATCTAAAACTACCTCCAGGGACTCCTGTGCCAGACTGTCTGAAGCACTTCAGAAGTGTCTTATTTTAGTGCTCTAATGTTCATAGTCATTAACATAATTGGGACAAATGAAAGAGAGAAAAATGCTGAAATGACTGGATTAATTTTGCATAGAATTGTAAGAATTCATGGGAAACAAAACAGAAATTGTAAGGGATTTCAGTAGTAACAAAGAAAAGTGAAGGTTACTGCAGTTCAGAGAAGATGAATGCCTTGGACAGTTTGGGAGAGACAAAAAGGAAAGACAAGGGGAAGAAAGAAAGCAGGCTTGATTCTTATCTCATGCTGCTCAGTCATGCTTTGACTCAGGTTTTTAAGTGCACTGTCCTTAGTAAACCTTAGCTGACTTGCCAGAATGACCACACTTCTTCTGGGGTCACACTGGCCTGCGTCTGCCCTGAAGCTGGGAAAGATGACTGAGTCACTCTAACTTTTTCCCTACCCTTGGTCTGTGCCTACAAAGGTTTTATCAGACCCAAGCAACCGGTCCTCACTTAAACCTGAATTAAATGTGTCTGTGTCACTCTGACACACAGTCAGTAATCATTACCTATCTGATAAGCTATGTCACAGGCTAAACCAGAAGTTAAATTCCACTATCACTATATGCAAAAAGGAATATATTTAACCCCATGAATTTTTCTTTAAATCAAAATGTTGGAGACTTTTCCTGAATAAAATGTTATTGAGTAAGTTTCAGGAGCTGGATTCTCAGACACTGTCCAACAGAAATCCAAGCTGATTCTGTGTGACTCATTATGGCAGGATATCATCACATGAATCTTTAGGCAGGCTGGACCTATTGTTTTGAGGGGCTGTAGCCACATTGGGGGGAATTAGAGAACCCAAATTGACAACATGCCACGGAATATCAGGAGTCTTACTCAGTGCATTGGTACAATTATCTATCTTAAATGGGAAAAGCTGTGCAAAGATGGGATTTGTGTTGAATCAGATCACAGGTGGTAGTATTTTTTAGAGTTGATGTTGCTGGTGCAAATACCTTGTAATTTGGCAAACAAAAGGCTGAAAAAAAATAGTATTTATAAGGCATCTGTAAGGATACTGACTACAGGGGGATTATTCTGATTTTAGTTTGGAGTGGGGAGTGAATTGGGACGGTGTGTTCCCTTGCAGTTCCCCTACAGCTATGCTACTCACCTTTTATTCCTGTGTAGATACATAATGTCACCAACATAACTATTCTTCCTACAGATGCAGTACAGGCTCGCAGCTAAAATGTGTCTCTATTTTCTGCCTGCACAGCAGCTACTCTGTCAGGTGTGCAGCTCATCACATTTGTATTCGTGGTATAGGTTGCAAGCACAAAAAATGCCAGAGTAAATTGTTCAGGTGTGGCCTGTGCCCATAAAATGATGGTTACCCTTTGAAAATAAACTCATGGAAAGCAGACTATGTATAGAAAGCCATTTCTTTGATGAATGTTAGCTGCAGGCCCTTACTTCTAACTGCATAGGGTAATCACTCATGTAAGTGAAACTTACTACTATAGTTGCACAAAGACTTGAACACTGTGAAGGCAAAATCAAAATGCTAGCAGACAAGTTGTCCTCCAGTTTATTAGGGTTCCTTCCCAGGAGGGCTACATTCAATTATTTTTTTCAGTGGTTTGCCAAAAGAGCTTCACAGTTAATCCAGCTGAGTTTGCATTCAGATTTTCTACTTTAAGTTACAAATGTCTTGCTTTTCAAAGCTTTCCAGCTGACCTGAAGTGGCATGCCAACAGTACTACAGCTAATTGAATATATATCTCATTTTTAATTTTTGCAGCTTTACAGACCATTTCCTCATTAAAAAAGGCGAGTGTTTGCACAGGAGCAGACGGGAGAATTAAGCAGCAGGAAAATCTCTATGACAAGATGTTGTCTCTTTTGGTTTTGAGTTTGGCAGCTGGATACTTCTTTTAACTTATATTCATCTTGTGCTAACATAATAATTGGGAAATGACTACCTTGCTTCAGTAGAAGTATACTGCAGTTAAATGCAAAAAACTCTGCCTCAAGACTCCGCTCTTTTCTGTGTTTATAGTGCTATTTTTATATATATCCCTATAAAATTTGAAGAAAGATCTGTAATGATCATCAGTAGAGGACTGGAGAGGGTAAAAATTTCAGATAATCCATGGTATATAACATCTGTTTATACTGATTAATCAGTGCACATGCCTTAGATCCTGGCGTTCAATGCTGTTTGAGTTTTCAACAAGGGGTACCATTTTGCATTACACTGTGTCTTTCCACTAAAGAAAATGATCACTTATAGATATTTACGAAGTGAACCTGGGAGTTTTTCTTGTGCATCACAGAAGGAGACCAAATATTAGCATTATGCTCAATGTTCCCTCGCAGTTCATAATCCCTTGAGCCATCCTGCTCATACAAACAGCTGTAGCAAAGTGTACATAAGGCCAGGTACACACTGGATTTGGGCAG